AAAAAACTAGTATCTATTGGCTCTATTCGCGGGTTTGGATGGTGCGATCTTCTGCTAATTACATCAAGACTGAGGTTGAGAAAACCTTTAGATGTGTAAAATGGTAATACTGTAGTAAATATGTGTACTGCCAAAGAAATGAGACTTTGGGCTTTCAATCTTATCGTTTATTATTTGCCAGATTCATATATTCGGATTTTTTATAAGCTGAAATAATAAATGATAAACTTGAAAGCCCGAGGTTTCATTTCCTTGGCAACAGCACTTATATAATATATTATATGTAAATTTTTCAAATCTGCTTAATGAGATTTATTATAATATGTGACTAATTAAATATATTTTATTAATTGCAGTTAATAGTTTAGCTCAATATAAAATAAGATAGTACTATTTTAATACTTAGAAATTCAGTTTATGAATCCAGTTTGCTTAAAACTGCTTGAAAGTAATTATTATAATTGTTTAATTCTTTGCTACTAATCAACCTGTTATTAATGTCTCTTCAAATAAAGTTATATATTAAAGATTAATTTTTATATTACATGAAGCAGGATAGCATCTATATACTTCTTTACAAACATATATATATTTATAAATACATATATATCACTATGAACAAACAGACATTTACAAATAGTTCATCTTTAAAATTTTAGTAAAATTTATTATAGCATCCGAGCTTTTATATAAAATGCTATAACAAACATATAACCTATTGAGATTGCTAATGAAATGCAGAATAATACTGCAAATAGTGTATTAGAATCTTTTACTTTCCTCAAAACATCAGATAGAGGAGTACTTGCAATATCAAAATAAAATTAAACCTTTACATTTCCTTAATATAAAAATATTGAGGTTTATAGGCACGATCAGAATTTGATTTTTGGTTAAAATATAATGACTGATTTTCATAGCTAAGAATCTCGAAAATTGCAGACTTCCTATTTATGTTTTTGCCACTATCCTTTATTGTTTTCCTGAAAAAAGTGGATACTTGGTCATAGTTTTTTTTTTTAACAGCCATACATGAAAATGCTGCCAAACCAAAGTGTTTATGTTGTTTTATGAATTCTGGTAAATGGTAAACCAGGATATGTATATATAGTATAATATTTTTGGGGCAATAAAGCCTTTTTCTAAAAGATATAGTATTTGGTTCACCTTGATGAGATGTAAGAAATAGGTTGAACTATTTTTTTTGTCTGAGTAGCAAAAAGAGTTGAATTGGTTTTTCGATCGTTCATAAGCTTGTAAAGTGAATAGAAGTCTTTCTACAAATAGGTAATTAGACTAGCTCTTTCTTTACGAAAAATAATTTCAAAATTAAAATTATGCAAAACCTTTTCTTTGTCACCCCTATTAGGGAGTATAAGACCAATTTTGTGTACTATTATTCTGCTAAAATTAAAAGCTAACCGAAATTCTTTGCATTTCCATGCTTATAGTTGCTCTAGTATCATTATTGAATCTATTCTCAGACTTTAATTTTTGAATCACTAACTCCCAAAGTCTATCGTAAATTCTTAACATTACGTGAAGTTTATCTGGCACATAGCAATTTAATAGTATCATTGGAAAAAGTGAAGGTTTAATATATCCAGGTGGTAGTAAATTTAAAGTTGAAGTTTGGTTATTAAAAAATTCTTTCTTAAGTTGATCTATGTCTTTTTCAATCCTAGATACTTTGTCTTTGTTTCCAATATCATTTTTTTGTACATAAACACCATGGACAAAAATATTTGGCGTTAGGTGCATTAAACCCTAATATGATGGCCATAAACTTCCAGTCACTACTAAAATATAAATTGATTTTCTACTTGATTCTATCAGAATCTTCTAACCCAGTTACTGTTAAACCATGCAGTTCGCTAATTAGTAGTCCCATTACTTGGTGCAATATCTCGTAGCTTTTACCTTCTGGATATAAAATTCCAGTATTGTGTGAGGCAGCTTTATGAATATTGGAAATATCATCCAAAATGATGAATGTTAACATCATATACTTTATCTTCCTTTCTACATTATACCCGTCTCCTGATATAGAAAATTGATTTAAAATACATTTATTTAAGTTAGGGAAATAATCTAAAGCCAGTATATAGTTTCTAAATCATCGATTTGTAAATTTAAAGTCACGTGGTATATAGAAAATACTACAAGGCTTTAGATGACCTCTAAAGAAGGTAATGATTAAAATCTGAATATATAGTTAAATCTGAATTTAATATACTGTATTTAGATCATAATTATCACCTAAATTTTTAAATACATAAAAAAAATTTGTCATCCCACCTGATAACCGAACATGAATTACTGGATTATTTATATTAAGAACCTTTTGTTTAATAAGACCTGGAATTATAAGAGTAATATATCCATAATTCGTCTATATCTAGCTTTTCCAATATATTGCATCATCTCATCTTCAATATCCAGATTATTAATATGAGGTATCTCATTAGTTGTTATAAGAGATATATCCTTAATATTTAAAATAATAATAGGAATTTTTGTGTTTATTTTCTTATTTAATTTTTTTCTTACATCTGAAATATTGTGATCCCATGGTAATTCTGGTTGGAGTGCGGCTAAATTTCGGTAAGCATTCTGAGAAATCGGACCTTGATCAATAGCTTTCACAAATATATCAAAAGAGTCATTTTCTTTATTATAATAATTGGCCAAGTAATCTTTGTCTTAAATATAGAATCAAACTTGTTGTAAAACTAGTTTATCAATTGAATTAAAAAAGTTGAGAACCTCATTTTTCAAGACTTCACCTAATTGAATAGAGAATGCACAAGAATGTTTCATTTTCATGGATTTACTCAGTGCATTAAATGGTCTAGAAGATCTATTCCTTTTACGTTCTCATTCTATATCTAGAACATTAAGACAAAATACATGTATACTGAAAATTTTTGCGTTTGCATTATTTGGATTTTTTTCTGATAAAAATAAAAAATTAAAATACAGTAGATATTTATAATATTAAAATTACAATTAGACCTCACTAAATACATATTTTCTAAATGCATAGTATATGAAAGACTTCTCTAATCGCATGGCCTTATTTGGTCCCAACTCATATAACACTTATAGATTTTGCTTCTCTAAATGCAATATCTCTCTAAATGCAAGATTTTTTGGCTACCCTTAGTTATGTATTTAGAAAAGTCTGATTGTATTAAAATTAAAGGACCTGTAAATAATTATTGGTGGTGGTACTTGGAGATTCTTTAGATTCTATAACATATTTTTGAGAATCTTCTTGAAATATAATTCTAAAGATCAGTCTATTTGACTTATATTTAATTTCACATTCTATCATATGCTTTGATCAACCTCTTCTCCAACTAGTTTAAACTAAAAAGTTATTCAGAATTTTGTATTGAACCCTATTAAAAGAACGCGCAGAAGTATAGTGTAGTTCATTTTTTGGTAGATAAAATCTTTCATTAATAATGTGATACTTGTAAATAGTATTATTTTGTTTAAATGTAAAAGAATTACTCTTTGAATATTTCTTTTGATTAAGAAGAGACATCATAGTAGCATGTACCAATTTTTCTTAAAGTAAAAAATTTTTTTTTTTAATTTGAAACGTGATGTAACGAGATTCAGGTGATACAAAAAAAGTTAAGTTATATTAGATTAAAGTTTAAAAGTTAAAGTTATATTAGATTAAAGTTTAAAAGTTAAAGTTATATTAGGTTAAGGTTTAAGGTTTGTGTAAGATAGTTTAAATTACAACTGGTTGTTTAACCAGTTGGCATCTAAAATATGCAACAGGTTAATTGGCAAAAAGAAAAAATTTTTTCTATTCAAAATGTTGTCTAAAAAAACTGCTCTTGATGTTTTAAAAAAAAAATATTTATAATTTTGGTATAAGTTTTATTTAAATTCTCTTTCAAACTCTTCTTAATACTAAAAACTATTTAATATGGACTGATTAGTCACACATTCAATTAGTTGCATTATAATCACTGCTTTTTTTTTTAATATTTATGATGATAGTGATAGATAATCAATCAACTAAAATCTAGTTTTAGATTTTTTTTTAATAATTAGTAAAAAAAAAAAAAAAGTATTCTATAATCTTCAAACATTAATAGAGAGATTTTTTATTCACTTTACAAGCTCATGATCGATCAAGAAACAAATTTAACTTTTTCTACTACCCAGACAAAAAATAGCTCAACTTAATTAAATTTTATATTTAAAATAAGAATTACTTGGCCAATTATCATAATAAAGAAAAGCTATTGATCAAGATCTGATTTCTTGAAACACTTACCAAAATTTAGCTGCACTCCAACCAGAATGACCACGAGATCACAATATTTCAAGTACAAGAAAAAAAGAAAATGAACCAAAAAATTTTCCATATTTTAAATACTAAGGATGTATTTCTAATCAAAGTGAACCAAACGTATTATCTTACATGAAGTGCTATTATCACACAATGATGTTAAC